TGGTGGTCTGATAAGACACAGGGAATTATTCCACTTTTTTTGTACCTGTTGAGGTTTGCTATGTTGCCGAGTATGTGGTCAATTTTAGAGAAGGTTCCATGTGGTGCTGAAAAGAAGGTATATTCTTTTGTGTTTGGATAGAATGTTCTATAGATGTCTGTTAATCCCAACTGGGTCATAACTTCTGTTAGTTCCTTTGTCTCTGTTAATTTTCTGTCTGGTGATCCTGTCCAGTGGTGAGAGTGAGGTGTTGAAATCTCCCAGTATAACTGTGTGAGGTCTTATTTGTGATTTTAGTTTTAATAATGTTTCTTTTACGAATGTGGGTGCCTTTGTATTTGGGGCATAGGTGTTTAGAATTGAGACCTCTTCCTGATGGATTTTTCCTGTGATGAATATGAAATGACCTTCTTCATCTCTTTTGATTGATTTTAGTTTGAAGTCTAATTTTTTAGATACTAGGATAGCTACCTCAGCTTGTTTCTTGGGTCCATTTGATTGGAATATCTTTTCCCAACCTTTTACTCTGAGGTAATGTCTGTCTTTGAATTTGAGGTGTGTTTCTTGTATGCAGCGGAAGGATGGATATAAGTATCCATTCTGTTAGTCTGTGTCTTTTTATAGGTGAGTTAAGACCATTAATATTGAGGGAAATTAAGGAACACTGAGTGCTTATTCTTGTTTGTTTTTTATTTGTTGTTGGTAGTAGTATTGCATGTGGATTTAACTTGCTTTTTCTTTTGGCTTTTGGTAAAGTGGGTAACTTGGTTACTGCTTTCCTTTACTGCTCTTAATATTCTTTCTTTATTCTGTATGTTTGGTGTTTTAATTATTATGTGACGATGGAACTTTCTTTTGTGGTATACTCTATTTGGTGCTCTGTAGGCTTCTTGTACTTTCATTGGCATGTCTTTCTTTAGGTTGGGAAAGTTTTCTTTTTCTTTTTTTTTTCTTTTTTTTTTCTTTTTTTTTTTTTTTTTTTTTTTTTTTTTTTTTTTTTTTTTTTTTTTTTGCCTGT